ACTTTTTACGTCTATAGGGAGAATTTTCAAAACAAAAATGATTGGAAGACTAAGCGCGCCTTCAGTCTTCCTTTTTACACGCGATGCTGCGCTAGTGGATGTGATGCAATGCATATTACCAAACTATCAGAAGCTCGTATATGCGGATAAATATGGAAAAAGATGCTCTCTTTGCTGGCATCGTCTATTTCTTCCATTACAAGAGCCCCGGCTTTTGCAGCTACAAATGTGCTGTTATTCAAAAGGAACTGTCAAACGGAAAAAGGATGTATGCAAAAAGATTGTTGAGTTGAATTACGCGTTTTGATATTTCAAACTAATACCTAAGTCCTTCTGCAGACCTGAATATGTTGTGTACAGTGTGAAACACGTCCTCAACAGTAGTTCCAATCCTCAAAGCACTACTTAGAAAAAAGATACTCCAAATGCAACTCTTATTACTTCATATGTTTCTATGCTTATTTTACTGCTGCAAGTCATTAGGATTTCTGGAAATTTGATGGTGGAACTGGCCTCACTTCGGATTGCGCGACACTCACCTAGAACAAACTGCGGCCAATAAGTAAACCGCTTGGCAAGGGGGTACGCCACCACAAGAAACAAAGATGAGGCACCGACAGCAACGCTACAAGAAAACAGATTTACCTATAGGTGACAAAACTGACAAAATCAAAATCACTTAAACTTGTACTGGTAATGTGAACTATATGATGTACAAGATTATAATGATAAAATACAGTCAGAAAAAATACCTGAACCAGTTGAACTGCATCAATATAGCAAAAGAAGCTGAAAGGAGGACTCCTAAACACGAGATTGCTTGACGATGATTTAGGGTTCCGCAAGCCAGTGGACGCAACTTTGTGCGTTCAACCTTGAACATATGCTAATAGGTAATCTCTAGAAGGAAAATGACTAAATGGAAAAAAATAGATAGCCGTTAATGTTCACCTGAAATTGGGAATATCTTATTGTTTTTCAAATCAATTCAAGCACTTTCCTAGAGTTACAACAAGCCTGATCTAATGATACATCAAAGCTGAGAAGGTCAAGCCTTCCTTATACTAAATATGGCAAATACAAAATTTCCCATGAACTGCATCCAAGATTAAAACAGGAGGTATGTCAGAAACAGTAAGGAACGAACCCGTTTGTCAAAATCTTTGTCCCAGATATCGTTTATAACGCATCCTGCACCGCGCATTAATACAGATCCTGCCCCAAATAACATGAGGTAGTACAGCGAAGGTAGATGACCCGCAGGAGTAGCCAAGGCAATCGACCAGGTGCACGGCCAATATAGTAGCCATGACCCTGCAGCATAAAACATAGTTTTCCAATGAAGAGTATTTTAGTGAAGAACAAAGAAAAACTCGTACCGGTTGGACTGTGAAGACGCATTAATTGTAAATAAGGTCGAAGAGCAGGAGGTGCAGAAGCAACAAGATCAGCTGCTGTTGGAAGTTTGAACGATCGAGTCTGCGTTTCTAGAGTAGGCGCCACCCCATTAGAGGTTGAAGTAGTCCTGAAAAGAGCGTTTCAAGATGTGAAATATGGATGTGAACTGAAAAGCAAGATATGACACAGGAGCATATCTTTTACATACCATCGCTTAAATGTAGTCTGATTGAAAACTGTCGACGATAG